TGAAGCAAATGTACCATTCTGTACTGCGCAGCTACAGGGTAACTCAACATGGGAAATCACAAAGCCTCACAGAGATACCTGAATATATACACTATAACCATCAAGATTTCAAATTTTGAAAACTATCTGTGTTTTAGCACACCATGTCCATATAATTAAAGTATTATTTTTCAAATATCCTCCATTTTTTCATGGGACTACTTTCAGACTTTTTGTATGGCGTACCATCATAAACATCATTTGGATTAAATGTTTCGGGTCTGTATCGGATATTGTAAATACTGCATTACAATTTCCTTGAAACTGCTTTTGGTTTTCAGCATTTTTTTTATAATGAATACACATTGTTATCAATTGTATTACTTCTTAATTCACCCCTTGAAACTTTGTGCCAGGAAGCATAAAGATGTACTCACAATTAAAGATTGAACATTTTTACTAAGTTTTACAGTAAAATAATTTGTTATAAATTTTATTCAATATTTATTCACACTCAACACATTGTTTAATCTTAGATTGATTCGCAAATATGATGTTTCAAATGGTACTCCATAGAAAGCGGCCAGAATTGAACAAGCAAGGTCTTTAATCGCAAAAAAGAAGTCAACGCCATTGTTTTTGACAAAATAGTGCGCAAGTGTAGAGCTATAAACTACGATCTTGCTTATCACGAGTATCCCCCAAGGAAACGTTTTTGTTTGTATAGGAATAAGGCTTACTTTAAAGTGCACATAAGATGGGCTTGGTAACTTTTCGATACGGGTAGCCAATGGTTACTATATCATCTTTACGGCAAGTCCACACCAATCTGATTGAAATTAATTCAGTTATCTTCACTCAAAGTCGTAAAAATAGACCTCTCTTAAAAACGACTTTGCCAATTATCGAAAACGCCAGTGACGTCACAGTGACCGAATGCATATTCGGAATGTTTATTCCTTAATTACCTATATACAGCCGGCGTGCGTATTCATTAACGCCTGACTGATTCCTTAATCCCCCCAATTAAATAAATGAAATGAAATGGGGTTTAACGTCGTACTGTTTTGCTCCTATACTGGGCTAATACGCCATACAGTGTGCTATGAGGAACATTTTGCCCGGGCAGCGGCACTATCGCCTACTCTTATATCGAATTCAAACTGCCAAGGGATCTTTTATGTGCATTCCAATGTATACACGGGACCTCGGTTTTCGTCTCATCCGAAGGACTAGATAGCTGTCCTTGTCAGGCCCTCCGTTCAGCACCACTGACAAGGGGAAACCCGATGAACTTTCTCGGCCAATGCAGGGACCGCCTAATTAAATAAAACAATTGACTACGGAATAATTTGTTTTGTAATTCATTTTAATTTGAGATCCAATTTAGATTTTTTTTCATAATGTACGGTCGCTCTCGTTTCTCACGACAGCAATTTTAATACCCTATAACATCGTGTGCAGTCCGATCGATTCGAGATACATTTTCGTCAAAAGAGTATTGTGGTTTTTAATTTCCCCGAGTAAAAGAGTACAGGAGTAAAAAGATTTAGTCATGCAAAATGAATCATAAAAGTCAAACATGATTGAAAAGCGATTTGTAAATGACGATCCGTTATCACCGTACGGCGGATTTGACTTCATTACTCTGAAATAGGACGTAAAAATGAAATATGAAAAAATATTTCAATATACGTTAGAATTAACAGTACAAATAAATTTTGTTGGTAACCATCTTAAACAGAAAGATTGAAAAGGGTCATATAACTATCTTTGTGTATTGATAGTAATATGGCAAGTAGTGTCGTTAATATGTCATTAAATAATCAATCCGATTAAAGTTATACAGATTTGGGGTCATAAATTAATTTACATCTCGGTGTTAGCAGTGATTGTTAGTGGTATTAAGAATGCTGATAATATACAGGGGTAGATTACAGACAAGTCATTCAGAATTGGCTAAATGTACGTGGCAGCCTTTTCAGATTAATATCCCTTGATATAATTTTAGTTCATTGTTTTAAATAAATTAATTACCCCCATTAATTACGTTGGCTACCATCTTGAGGGGGTTATGTCTACCAATACTGTATTTCCTCGCTAAAGTAGAACTAAAGGATTAGCTAAAACAATGAATGTCAATTAGGCCCGAAGCACTCAGACCATATTTTATTTAGCCAAGCATTATTTCTTGTATATAATATGCAATTTACCCTCATACATGAAAATAAGTATGATTTAGCGCGCATATTAAAGTGCAGCCAACACTTTTGAGTTCAAACTGAACATTGACTAACGAATATAATTTGCGAACCATATGTTGCCATGGTTAATACGTAATGATAAAATATAGTACAAAAAGGGTTAACGAATATTTACACGTGAAATAAAAATAAAAATATGGCTGTCCGATATCTACTAGTAGCCTATGCTTAATTAAGTCAATAATTAAACCAATCGCAACTTTTAAACATTTAAGATATGTATGAAAAATTACATATTATATACAAGAAATAATGTTTGGCTAAATAAAATATAATGGTCTGAGTGCTTCGGGCCTAATTGACATTCATTGTTTTAGTTAATCCTTTAGTTCTACTTCAGCGAGGAAATACAGTATTGGTAGACATAACTCTCTCAAGATGGTAGCCAACGTATTTAATGGGGGTAATTAATTTATTTAAAACAATGAACTAAAATTATATCAAGGGATATTAATCTGAAAAGGCTGCCACGTACATTTAGCGGTTCATTCCCATATCGCCGACTCGCCGAGTTTTAGGGGAAAAATTTTGGTCGACGATATGGGAATGAGTGGCCAAGAACAATAGACCCAAGCTGAAGAATAAACCTCATTAAGCAGATAATTTTGGGAGCATTTATTTTTTTTTTAATTTATAATACATAACATAACACAATCCAATCAAAGGGTGCCGCGGTCGAATTTCGAAAACTCGGTGAGTCGGCGATATGGGAAGACCCCCCTGGCATATCGTCAACAGAATTATAAAGACGCTGTTTTGGGTAAACCAATATGGCGTCAATGGCTTCACCAAAGTGACGTCACGCCGTCTCCATGTCATTAAAGCTACTTGCAAAATACCCGTTTCTGAGCGAAGATTGAAGACTCGATAGTCAAGTACCATTGTTACGATAATAAACAAAGTCTCGATTAATCATTTTTAGTGTCATTAATAACCAAAACAAACAACCACCATATTTCTCACATGTGTATACTTACAGTCTAGGGAAATCTTCACTGATGACCAGAAAGCTAACCTATTTGGTACAGATTAATATCTTAAACAACCGACCACTGTTTTACATTTCTATGCTGACATTCTAATAGCAAAGTCGGCCACGAATGGCCTAAAAGAGGGGGGTGTTTCATTTAAACCGAACGCTAATCGTAAACAATAACATAATCTTACTTGGGGGCAATGTTGCGTATTGCATTTCTCCTAAAAGAGAGGGATGTATCATTTAAACCGAACGCTAATCGTAAACAATAACATAATCTTACTTGGGCAATATTGCGTATTGCATTCCTCCTAAAAGAGAGGGATGTATCATTTAAAAATACATTATGCAAAAGCTAAATCTGATTATTGCAAGTCTTTATTTAGGCTTCAGATGTCATAGAAATTATAAATTAGATTTTTATTTACACAAGCACAAAATCAACTCTGTAGACCCACGGATGGCTTGGTTTTAAACGGGATTTCGTTGACTGATTTAATTTCAAATGGCGTCGTGAGCGGAGATTAACCGTTACGTTGACGTGATTATCCCGGATCGAGGCTAAATGATAGAGTGTACGAAGCGAGGCCGCTGTTGGGCGATGCCTTAACAAATAACATCTAAATTATTTAAAGTGCAATAAACTAAACACAGATAATGACACATTATACAATTCCTGGAGACCGTGTGATGACTAATACAGACGGACAGGTCTTCTGTCTTAATAATATCAATAAAAATATTTTTATTTCCCCAATAGACACGACGCCACTGGTGTATACCTATAGATTTATCATAATTGTATAATAATATTATGTCCTATATTCGATTGATTTAAAATACAGTTCCGGCGTGGTTCTCCCTTGTCAGTGATGCAGGACGGAGGGGCTGACAAGGACAGCTGTCTAGTCGTTCGGATGGGACGAAAAACCGAGGTCCCGTGTACACATTGGCGTGCACGTAAAAGATCCCTTGACAGTTGGAATTCGATATAAGAGTAGGCCGTAGTGCCGCTGTCCGGGCAGAATTTCCCTCATAGCACACTGTATGGCGTATGCCCGTCTTCATTAGCCCAGTTCGGAGCAAAACAGTAGGACGTTAAACCCCATTTCATTTCATTTCATTTTAAAATACAGATGTGACGTCACCCTTTGATGTTGGCGTACCATTATTTCAAATAATCGTACGGGCAACTTGCCAATCGTACCTTGTCAAATATTAGACTCGAGTGACGTATTTCACTGTAAACGCACGTGCGGAGTGTCTGTATTTTAAGATGTTTAATGGTCTCGAGCTGAGACATTGCGTAATATATTGTAAAAACACTCGGACCCGACGGTCCTCTTGTTGTTACAATATATTATTTAATGTCTCGCTCTCGACCATTAAACAATACTTAATGCATGCCCAAAATACAAGTAAGAATGAAAATTTACCCTTTCACTCATTTTGTCCAATTGTTATAAAACTCCAAAAAGGTAAAACACAAATTCGGATATGATGACAGCAGAGATTATGTAGGTTGAGTTAACGCCTGTCAATCAAACCATCGGCCATACTAAGAATCGGTGAAGATGGAATTCAATCCCATTTCTAGTCAAAAATTACACTGGTGATATAACTATGTTCAGAATAAAGTAATTTGACTGAAATTTTCAATATATTCTTCTTTCATCATCTATTTTTGAACTGCTATAGCAAGAATGACTAACTCCTTATAAATATCTCCCATAATGTATCTTTAAACCAAAAGCTAATCGCACACAATAACATAATCTTACTTGGGCAATGTTGCGTATTGCATGTCTCCTGATCGTCTTTAGTAGTTACGCCAACACAATTGTCTCCACCATATTCTGGGCTGGGATTTGTACAGGACCTGGAGTATTTCAGGGTCCTAATGCCTCCTCCACAAGGTACACTACATTCACCTTTATTATCTAAGGTATAATCGGTCCAACCTCCATTGACTACAAAAACAAAACAAAATAAAGGGAAATGGGGTTAAACGTTCTATTTTCCTGCACCATATGGGAAATTGAGGACGGGCGTACTCCATGCAGTGTGCTATGGCGGACATTTTCCGCTAAGTACATCCGAGTTGTATTTCAATTCCAAGAAATAGTGGAGCATCGCGAATTGTTACATATTACTTAACATTTTAACTTCTGTAAAAGATTTTTAATGCGAAGCCAACATAGGGACATTTATTAACGGGGCAAAATCTGTGAGAAGGTGTAATAGTAGGATTTCAGAAAGAAAAGACAGCGATAAAATCCTACACGAATCATCTGAAATATGTGCCGCATGGAAAGAACATTGAGAAACGTTAGCTAATCCTACAGACAGTGAACAGTTTTACGACAATTTACACTACAAGGACCTTGTCTATCTAATGAATACTCGGTCCAGCCTCCATTGACTACAAAAACAAAATAAAATAAAGGGAAATGCGATTAAACGTTCTAATTTACTGTACCATCTGGGATAATGAAGACTGTCGTACGCCATGCAGTGTGCTATGGCGGACATTTACCGCTAAAGTACATCCGAGTTGTATTTCAATCCCAAGAACTAGTGGATCATCGCGAATTGTAACATTACTTAACAACACCTCTAAAAGATTTTTAAAGAATGTTCGTGAAAATAGTAACTGTTGTGAAATGTGATGAAATTATTAATGTTTCGGGCGCTTGGGCTACTGATACTATCAATGGACATTCTAATTTACAAAATTTGCTAATGCCGCGATTTATCCCAGTTTCATTTATATAATTGAAGTTTTCAGTCAGTTATTCACAATAATGAGGTAGTATTGGGTAATTATTGGGTAAGTATTGGATTAGTATTGGGTGGAATTGGGTAAATCGTCCTACCGTGTTCATGGTGATCGAACATAAATCGAGGGTATAGAACATAATTGTGATAAGTCAAAAATAACCCAAAATCTTTTATTCTTTTAAAATGAAGAGTATGTAATTCTCTTTACATTGGTCTAGAAATCATCATCCTTACTCATTTCCAAATATCTTAAAATCACCCAATAATTTTTATGCTCTAAGCTCAGTTATAATATTATATAGTGCTAAAATATGATAAGTCAGACTTGACACTTGTATACACTACATAAATGTAATATTGAGTGCAATAACATGATAAGTCATGAGACCGCTACTGGAAATATTGTACAATACAAATATATAATATCTGCAGAAACCTTTAACCACATCAAAATTTGTGACAAATTCAATTTACATCAGTCCGCATGTCCAAATTATGAGCTAAATCGACAAAGACTTCCAATTTCTGTTAAATCACCTTTATACACATCCTCTACACCACGACCTCGCAACGCTACGCCTAAACAAATCAGCTAGATCGTGGTTGAAAGCGAGTAGTAAGAGGTGTTGTGGTAGGAGGGCGGGATAGGCGGTGTGGAAGAGGGCGTGGGGGGGGGGCGTAGTGAGAGTGGAGGTCGGCAAAAAATAAAACACGCGTCCATCACACTCCTGCTACAACGTCACCCTGCGCTTTCTGCATTCAGCAGGCTCCAATCAAGTTCTTACTACGCCCATGGTCTCAGTGCACGTCCCGCATCCTGGCCACACACTCTCCCTGCTACCAATCATACTACCCACTCCTAAGCTTTTCGTAAAGCCTCATTCACAAATAGTAAATACTTCCCTACGCGCTCACCACTCGAAAATCGGTCCTTCTCAAGGTAAAGGCAACTACACCGCTCTCAGTACGCGCAAAAGCGAAGAAAGCGAGAAACGTTCACTCTTTTGACGTCCACACTACGCCCTGACCTTAGTGAGTAGGATGTGAGGTCATGGCTGGAACGTGATGACCTAGTTCAATTTCTAGCCGATTGAGCCACACCATGCTCAGTAGCCTATCCCCCACCCCGTATTCTAGTGGTGGAGCGTGAAGGAAGCATGGCAAAAGCATAGCGAGGTCGTATGAAGCATGGTTAACGTGTGGTGGGAACAGTGTGAAAATTACTTGGACTATGCGCATACTTAAAGCGTAGTTTTCTTCCCACTTGAGGGAGTTTTCTGCATTTCACCGCGATTTCGCCATGCTCTACATAATATTTGCGCGTAATATGCGCATAGTGAGGTCATCGTTATGTTTGAATATGAATCATTTTACAAGAACCCTCCCGAAGACTACATCTCTAAATGGTTGTTATGAAGAAGACTGAACGTGTTGACAGCCATTAGTTGTTGTCAAAAAGGAATCAACAACCTGTGTGTCTTTAGATACAATATAGACAGCAAGTTAAACAAACAGTTAATTAAATTTGTTAAAGAATCAACGTTATTAAATAAATGGTTTCAAGTTGTTGTTCAGGTTAAAGTTTATATTGTGAAAGTGATACATACATTTCTTCCTCGATAAATAAAAGATATTGAATAATGCACTGTTTGATTTTTGTTTGAAGGAAGGTTGTTTTGTTTTGTTTTTTGGGGTTTTTTTTTGGGGGGGGGCACCACAGGTGGTGGTGTTATTTGAGTAAGAGTATATGAAAAAAACCCATAATATTTATATGAGCTGTTATGCCATAATTTGATTAGAATTCTACATGTCATGTTGTATTGAAATCAAGATAAGTCTTATAGTACCAGTTGAAATGTAGTGCCTAAAAGTCATAAGTCACACATCCCATAATATGTCTGAAATTAACACTAAATTATAGTTCTATGATAGCCTTCAGACAGATTCATGCAAATGACAAAAAACCTGAAAATTTCGTTAAAATATATTAATAAATGAAATTTCTGCTGTAAATCAAAAGCCTAATTGGCCATTTTCTCCAAATCAGACATTTTGACTTATCACAATTGTGTTCTAAACCCATATAAGATGGTAAATTTGTTTAATATATTATGACTCACCAATTTGACAACATCGCCCTTCTTCACCGTGAAGGCACAAGCATCCTGTGGATACGGAAACAAAAGTCCCTTCATTATAGCAATACTCATTACAGTTACGCTTTTCGTATGTCATGTCAACTGAAGCACAGTCTTTAACGCTGTTACATCCAGGATATGTTGTAAATCGCACATATCTCACACGTTCTTCTGTACCGTAGCAGAGCTTAGTACAACCAGACCATTCTTCCCAGGGTTGGAACTCACATTCACAGTAAGTAAAGCTTTTTGCCAATTCACCAACAATTCCCTCTAGTGTTGTTAGTAAAACAACCAGTTTGGTAATCACGTGCATTTTCTGAAATATATTTTAACAGTATAAAGTGGTTTCAAGTTATTACAGGATGTGATGTACAGTGCAAGAGAGATTTAAAGTAGTAAGTCTCTAACTCAATATCATCAAAACTCTTCGACATTGAAAACACGAATTATTTGTCAATTCAAATCAACATTGGTCTTGTGATCTTACAGGGAGAAGATGGGCTTCTGATATCCAATATTAAAGACAAAATAAACATTTTACCATTGGTACACGAATCGTGTACCATAATGCGTTTCAGCGCCATCTGGGACAAGGGACTCAAAGAACGCGGCTACACATATTCCACAAGTCATGTCAAATGGTGACGCTATATTCTTATCTGGGGAGCATGCGCAATAAATATCATCGGTGTGGACTGGAATAACCAGACGCTAAAGATTGTCATTCTGGCGTATTTCTGATTAGAAATTACAGTAAAAACAGAAACGACTAAATGTAAATCAGTTTCTATACATTCACATTACATTATTAAATGCGTTACGACCCATTTGTGTCAATTTCTAGGTCCCAAATATTAGCGATTTAGCTCCCTTAACAGGCTAGGTAATTTCTTGAAACAGAGAGAAAGAGAGGGGGTCGGGACGGGGTCATCGGAGGCCCCTGGGCTTCAAATTCAGGGGGCATCCAACCAACTAAATTAGGTGTGTACAAGCTGCCACACTAAATTTGAATAAAATGTTTATTTCATCTGTACGTTTTACATGTTTAAAGTGTCTTCCTTTTTCAAATTTCTTGGCGGATACAGTAGAAAATCGAAACTTGACATTCCTAGGTACCGTTGATATTCGATATACTTCGATGTTTTATAAGACGTCACAATTAAGCCTCGTAGCTAAACAAACTATACAATTCTGGAAAGCTTGTAACACCAGAAACACAAAATATTTGCAATAACTCGATTAAGGGCCCGATGAAAATCGTCATAATTGGCAAGTAAATGCTATATTAATCTAACAATTCTGAAGTTGGCATAAAATTAAATACTTCCGGTACCTTCGTTCTTGGCAATGAATAGGGTATGGTTATATTTTGATTTAACCCATTAATGTTACAGGGTACAAGGAGTTATCTTCCTTCCGGAAAAGACCAATAATTATTGATAACAGTATTTAGTTTAAACAATTTATTCGATAACATGGATTGGATTTCACTACAGAAAAGAGCTATAAGTTCCCCAAATGTTATTTCTACTATAATAGTTCTAAACATTTTTGTCAGATTTGAGGCTAAAGTTCTAACAAGGCATCTATAAATATTTAGTTTTCTCACTATAACAGATATATGGCCAAACTAAAGAATACTACAATGGAAGTGGCAATATTGTAATAAAGAGAAAATAAATCAAATTGGGTTTAATGCCTTACTGTTCTACACCAATCTGTATAATGAAAACGGGCATACGCCATGCATTATAATTGGGGGTGGGGATTTTGCAATGCACATGTACATCTAGTATTCCTGCTTTCCATGCAAATGTCATCAGAGCAAGGGAACATCCGTGATTCAGTAAGGGATGGCTCACTTACCAGGAGGTCAAGGATTTGATCCTGTTCATGCGTGGTTCCCCCTTGTCAGTGATGCAGGACGTAGGGCTCAGCAAGGCGATGGCTCACTAATCAGGAGGTTCGGGGTTTGATCCCCATGTTGGCCTAGACAGTTCCCTCATTTTTCCAGCGTTTTTTCCTTCTTGTCAGTGATGCAGGACGGGGGGGGGGGGGGGCGGTCATGGACAGCGTCTAGTTATTTGGATAGGATTTAAAACTTAGGACCCGTGTACACGTTGAGGTGCACTTAATATAACTCTTGACAATCCGTATTCGAAATAAAAAGTAAACCATACATCGCTGTTTGGGCCAAATCTGTGCTGTTAGCACAATGCATCGCGTTTGCACATCGTCATTATCCCGGTTGATACTGTACAGTAAGACATTAAACTACCTCCGATTTTTTTTTTATCTTCCTTACAATTGCCACCCCCTTACAGTATTATTTAGTATATATATATATATATATATTAGTGAGAAAATTACATAGATGTTTTGTTTCAATTCAAATATTTTTAAAGGAATTTAGCCTCAATATGCATTGCATTATGCATTGCAAGTTTCTTTAAAATGGAATTAAAATTGTGACTTCTTCAGGGTCTAAAACCTTAATATACCATATTTTTAAACAGTTCCCTTACAAGTTGCGGCTATTTTGTCGGCAATTTTGGTCCGATTTTCATAAAAATTCGAACTCAACCTTCCTTACGGTGTAATGGTGATATAATAAAACGTTATCTTAAATGGGATAATAATTGTGACCTCTAGAGTGACCACAAGCTAAAAAGGGCGATTTTTCGGACAATCAGGGGCCATAATTCAGGAAGTTACGTTCCGATGGGCGCAATCGCAACTTCCTGAATTGCGGCCCTGATTGTACGAAAAATCGTGTTGTGGTCATAATTATTATCTGATTTACAAAAAAGTTCGAATACATCACCGTAATGATGGTTGAGTTCGAATTTCGTGAAAATCGGACCAAAACTGTCGGACAAAATGGTCGCCCCTCGTACGCAAATAGTGTAAACATCTGGGGCCGGTTGTTCAACTTTTAGTTAAATTTAACCATGTGGTTACGTTCAACCATGGGTTAGATATTTAACTAATCGTTACATAACCTGTGGTTAAATTTGTGTTGTTCAACTACATTTAACGACGTTGTTATGTAACCATATGGTTAAAATTTAACCATTCGATAACCGTATGGTTAAAATTTAACCATTTAACTAGTATCCCATAATTCTCCTTACTAGCAACCAATTCAAGATGGATGACACTGCAGGGGGAGTGGGCAAAAGAAAAACCAATTGATATCCGCAAACAAATTTTTCTAATGTTTAAAGATGTTTAGCTGAATGGGAAATTAGTCTTCATGTGGTGTTTTTAGGCAGCACTGTCAATCTTTAATGACATGGTTGTGGCCTGCTAATCGAGACTGGAGAAGGGTAACTCTTGACAACAAAAATTGTTTCGCTTGTAAAGTTCCCCGCTTGAAAATGTGGTAAGTTGGGTTTTTTTAGCTTTTTAAAGTATTATTTGCAGACTTTTGACACTATTTTTATTAGTTCCCGTTCAGACAAAAGTTGTTCGAGGCTTACATCCACCAAAAAGCCCTGTAAAATTATGGTTGCTACGTGATGTCAATGAATGTAAACATAGATAATGTATTAATGAAGTGTCAATTTTGGCATTCCCTATTATGAATCGTATTTCAGCTGCCATAACCATATTTTCATCTTATTAAGTCCTTTCTTGTCACTAATGATTTTATTAATTAGGTGGTAGTCGGAATTAGATAAAAACTAGTAAAATTTGCTTAGTGATGCTGCCCCCCAAAAAAGGAACAAAATTGTGTAATATAGGCCTATAGACAGTGCCTAATTAGGATAGGCTTCCAAATAGTTTTAATTAATTTGTGACTAATTTTCTGTTTTATGTGTTTCAGGGATGTGTTTTCATATAAGATGAAATTTGAAAATAGTGTGATGGACATTTGCAGAATTTCTTGAAGATTTTTGTCACCCTAGCCTACTTTTGAGGAGGTGGCGAAGATCCTTGACCATGACCATGAAAATCTGTATGCCTAGACACCAATATTTATAGGCGGTTATTTGCCTTGTTGAAACAGTTGTTTTTATATAATCGACCATACTTTTCTTTCAATGAGATCCGAGGAAATTTCAAATTTGTGCTACGATACCTAGAGTTATATATTTAAAGGACATAGACGTATCATGACATCTAGGCCTATTTCCAAGTGAACCAAGATCTACTTCCAACTTTACACACAGACTGCATACCGTTATAGCCTTCATAAAGAAGTTACATGATTCTAACATAGAATTACAGTAGGCAGAGGTTATATTATACAAGAGATCAAAAAGATCTAAATATTCATGTACCAAACCATCAATATTGACAATAAATCCTAATGCATGTAAATTATTATTTACTTATCTTTGTGAACTTTGATTTATGCTATTGGGCCACGATTACCTAGCAATGGGGAAACTGGGCTATTTGTGCACAATGTCACTGATTTAGAGAAAGGACCCACTTGCATAAAAGCACATGGCAATGAATACTTGCGGCTTCACTTCTTTGGTTATTAGTTGCGTTTTTTAGGTGAATGTCAAGACAATTACATAAATTGGTAAATGACTTTTTCTTCAAGCATGTATCAAGATGTTAACTCAGAAGGAATCTTTTTAACTTGAACTTATTAAAGGTGCCCCTGTATACATTCTTTTCGGGAGACGCTAGCCTGCTGGCTTGTTAGCCTGGAAGTCACGGGTTCGCTCCCGGTGTTGGCTAAGAAAGTTCATCATGATTTTTCGGCGTGTAGGACAGAGGACCTGGGAAGGTCCTGTAAGGTCCTGTGTACACATTGGCATGCACGTAAAAGATCCCTTGGCAGTTTGAATTCAATATCAGAGCGACATATATATAAATTTGGAATAATGATAATATTGCCATTGGCCCGGGTCGTATAATTTTAACATACTATCATTCACAAAAATAATTCTCATTCAATATTTTTTCATTGCATGGAACATATAGCTGCGGCCCACCAGTTTATGTTATTTTAAGGCAATATAAGCAATATTAGATGACGACACAAATTAAAACCCCACTACCCCCCCCCCTCAAAACCACAGTAAACAAGGCCCTTTGTTACTGTTTTATTTATTACTATATGATTCAAGTATAAATTATACCATTTTTATACGCCCACATTTTCATGTGGACGTATTATGTCGTCTCTGTCCGTCCGGACGCCCGTCCACAATTGTTTGTGGACTCTCTACAGGTCACAATTCTTATCCGATTTTGACGAAACTTGAAATATAGGTTTATCCCCAAAAGATCTCGGCTGCTTTCGATATTGGCATGTATCGGATCGAAACTTCCTGGATTATGGCCCCTGA